ACTATGACATTTATAAATGTATGAATCATATGGTGAAAAACTGACTTTGAAAAATAAATATGTTATTTTTTCTTATAAAAGGCTAAATAAAAAAAATATCGGTGGCAATTTTTGACTGTGTAACTTTAAAAATGGCACCCCATAAAAAAACAGCGGGTGGAACGCGTTCCTTCAACAAATGGTACACATTCATTTATTTGTTTTATTGCATTTGAATTTTTACATGGAAACTAATGAAAAGTAAAAGTAACTTAACACTTTATAAAGAGCGGCGCGTGTGTATCCTAAATCAAGATTAATAAATGTCAAGGATGTAATTTAGTTTAAACAGGCAATGATGTCAAAGTACATTCAGGTGCCGTAAAAGAAACGGCACCAATCTAACCTGCCCAGGTGTGTCAGGTAAAAACCTTTGATCTTTGTAAATACTGTTAGACAAATCACAGAGAAGTTTGTGCTCCACAAAGCACAGTTTGTTCCCTCTGATTAAATTAAAACATTTATTTAAAAAGTGCTTGAAGCCACGTTTCAGACCGCAGACTGAAAATAATCCCAGACACGCACTGAAAGCCAAGAAGGGAAATGTCCTAAAAGAAAGAAACTGAGAGCTCTGGAATGCTCAAGTCAAAGGCCAGATTTGGATCCAGATTTAAATTCACCCTTTGACCCCTTCAGCGTTAGAAAAGGGCTCTACGTGCATCCAGTTACTGAAAGGGTTTTGCAATAGTGGGTAGTCAAAACTGTCACCCAGGTGATGTCAGAAACAGGGACGTTACAGAGTTCCCCAAAGGATCTTCTATATAATTCCAGAATCAACAAACAACAAAAACCTCTTTGTTGGTAACGAGTCACTGGTTTATGGAGTACAGTGTCTTCTTGTTCAGTTACATCTCAAGATTCACCACTTTGTTGCAAAACTCTACAAAGAAAACACTTTTAAGGAAGGTAAAAGTATGGGGGTGCCGTTTGTAAAGTTACACAGTCAAAAATTACCACCAATACTTTTTTTTATTTAGC